GGTTTGTTTGAGAATAATAAATGATGGACCAGAACTCGTGACTCCTTTCATATAATAAGTATTTCTATATTAATAAGTCTTCTCGCAGAACTGTTTCTGTCGGAAAAAAGGAAGTTATCAATTTAAAAATATCTATCATATTTCAAAACAAATCAACTGTTAATATTTTAATCATTAAAAATGAAATGGTAAATTAACTGTAACTCAAACAATCAATTCACATTTTGAAAGCAGATGGGAATTGTTTTAATGATGAATAGAATATCTATTAGATGAACTAGATATAACCATTGTTGTGCAATAATTCTGTTTTTTGAAAGATAAGAATCTCATGTGAATAATAAATAAATGTTACAGTTCAAAAACCACAATTTCTTTTGTTTTTAATTTTTAAAAATGTATTAGTTTTTTGACTACTGTCGTAAACTGTTCTATTCTGAAAGTTCTTAGGGTGGTAAGTCTTAGTCGATCTTTCACTAATTTGCTTTTTAATATTAGATTTATTTTTCATTTCAATGTTTCTCAACACAAAAAGAGAAGAATTTTCATAAGAGTGTAATTCATCAACAATGTTAATTAAGTCGAAAGTAGGATTCTTTTTTTTCAAAGACAGAATTATTGCATGACAACGATTATATCAAGCTAACGTATTAAAAATAACCAGTTCATCACAAAAAAATTTCAATATGGTTTCAAAATGCACATTAGTTGCTTAAGTTATAGTTAGTTTACCCTTTCATTTTTAATGATTAAAATATTAATGGTTAATTTGCTTTTATATATGATAGACATTTCTAGACTAATAAATGAATTAACGGAATCAATTTATAATCATTTTGAAGAGCACGCTTTATTGTACCTTTTCTCTATAAAAATAGTTCGGTGAGAAGATTTACTAGTATGGAAACATTTATTATACGAGAAGTCAGGAGTTCTGACTCATGCTTTACGTCATCAACTGATTCTGTATCTAACGTATTTAGATATGTATGTCAATGAAAGAAATATTTTGACCTTCATCTTTAGTATGCGAACAATTATTTGAGTTTTTTGAGAATAATTGCTTTTTAGGACATGCAAGCGCATTATTTCATTCAATTGATTCTTTGAACTGATTGGAGTTTTATTACGATCCACTTTTTTTCGAAGACATCGAAAAAATAGCGTTTCATTTTCTTCTCCATCTATTGAAATCAACGAAATAGAAACAAGCTTTTTACCACATTATTATTAATAAATATTAAAATTTGTAAGAAAAAATATAGACTTACTACTCTTCAAAAGCACAGTATCACGATTACAATAAACTTCTTTGTATTGCAACACACATTTATTTATATCTCCTTATATACTCATTTTTGTAATAATGCCATTATTATCAATATATACTACACAAATAGCAATATCTATTCATTGTCAAACACACATATCCCAACCATACGCATCAAAGTGAAAGAAATGTTATCAAAAGAAACATTTTTAATGTATTTTAAAAGAAATTCTAGTAGAGTATAATAGAGTTGCCATCAGTAGAGATTTTTCCTTATGGACATCGATCAAACCGGAATGAACCATTTTTCATATTTCTTATCCTATAACAATCAAAGCAACCTCTCGACTAGTCATATTTACCTCTGAATTACTACAGAAATAATATAAGGCTTCTATTTCATTATTATAGTGCTTTCGTGAAACATAATTGTTAATGAGGATTGAAGCATATGGCATGAAAATTAAACCTATTTCCTCAGCTTATTCCAAAGACTGTGACAAACATGCCGATGGTCTTTTAACCTACAGACAAACTGTGACAAAGATGCTGATAGATCTGTCACGATCTGTGCAAGTCTATCGAGTTTTTCGACATGTTGACTTTTGGTCTCGTCATGATCTATCATAAAGATGATGAGGTTTTCCACAACGGTTAAAGTAACTTTATCGTGTTTTATATTTTAATCTTGTTGAGATTTCACTAAAAGTTTTTTCCTCTCTTGCCATCTATCGATGGACAGAAAATTTCATAGGATTGCAAATTCTATATTAGCTTTACATACTAATAAAATATTCGTCCGACATATAGAAATCATGAAGTAAGTGTATATGCACTCTGCAAAAGATATAGTATAAATAATATGAAATGAAAATAAATATATGATAAATTTCAATGATGGAACAATGATTCGATTTTATTTTGATAATATAATTTGATAGCAATGTGAGTTGATAAAATATATTAAGCATATTTGAATAAATATTCATCTAATAGTAATATTCTAATGCATGTTCCTTCATCGAATTAGTCATTTGACATCAGTAAAAAATGTTTTGATTTGGGAAAAAAACCATTGCTATGATCATTTTTTTTTAGAAAAAAACTCTACAAAAACTCGAAATAATCTATGTATACCGACCGGTAAAGAAAAAGTTGTGTTTACTGTCCGGTAAGGAGTCTTCTATCGGACGGATCTTTTATCGTTATCGATTAAAATTTTGAAGAATATACTAAAATGATTTTTACAAAACGAAGACATAATTTATTGAAATGATATAAATTTAGAATTGATCTATTAGATTTTCATTTCAATATTAATTGACAGTAAAATTTTATATTGTTGACGATCTATAATTTCAAAAAATGATGCCATTTTACTTCCTTAATTATGTTTCATTGTAGGAAACAGGAAAAAAAATGTCTCTTTACTCATAAATTAAACACGATGACAAAAGACAAATCATAAATTGCTATTTCAAAATAACACATCTTAAATATCTACATGAGAAAATATTTAAATTACAAATTTTTTTAGCCATTATCTCAATGGTTGCCATAGCAACTCTTTTATTGATTCAGTTTTTGAAGTGCATAAGTATGCTAACATCGATTGATTACCAATATAATATTTTTCTGTTGTTTTACAACCGAGAAAAAAAAACTATTTGAATTTATTTTCTTTATATGATTCATATGATTATTTTTTTCTCAACAAAATATTTTAATAATACATAGAATATATATACATATAAATGAAATTGATTAGATGAATAAAGATGAAGAAGAAAAAAAAATCGAGGGATGGAGAAATTTATCGTTTATTCGTTCATCATCCATCCATCTTACCCATTCTCCCTCTCATCACATTTAGTCAGTCATCTCTTTTTCTTTTGCTTTCGTTCGTAAACAGTTGACAAATAAAACTAAAGAAAAAGAGACTAATAGCATATATATATATATATATATACACATACATATATGTATCTGTTTACCTCGTTGGGCTATTATTCTAGTCGATTTCGAGTGTTCGTCCGTTATGATATCTTTGTTTTTTTCGATGCATAGATATTCACATACGAAAATATATTTATCAGTATCATCGAGATT